TTACCACCCCAGAGCTTTGGGGGACCCTGAGCCCCTATATTTGCTGTGGCACCTCAGCCTCCCCGAACCTCTGGTTCGGCGCTCTCATCGAAGAAAGGCATTTCATTCTTTGAGATCAGGCAGCCAGGACCCAAGGAGCTGTTTTCCTCCATTGTGCAAGCATGACAAATCATTAATTTTTGATTGATTTGCTTAGAATTATGGGCGCCCCAGCATTCTTTCCGCCGCTGAACAGCTGTATAACAAATGAATATATCAGTGTGCACAAAAGATTGGAGATCTAAGAGAAGCAATTACATTGACCACCCTCCCCCACCCTCACCCCTTCCAGGGCAGTGAAGGGAGGAAATTTTTACCAGAAATTCCTCAAGTGGCTTAAAGAAAAAAAAAAATGCCTTTTTGTAATTGAATTAAATCTGTATCTCTTCATCTTTTGCAGCAGATTTCCAAACACACACCAGTTCCCCATGTGCTTGGGTTTCATCCATCCAGGAGGAATCTTTAATAATGAAATTTCAACTCGTGAATTAAAACCAAAAGCAAAAAAAAAAAAAAAAAGGCAAATAAAAAAAAAAAGGAAATTCTACCCCTCCTCTTTGCCTTTTTTTTTTTCTTTTTTTTTTTTTTTGGTTGCTGCTATTCCTTTAAGATTTTGGAACCGTACCAGTGCACTAAATGTGACCTCCATAACTTTTAAATTAAGAATTTATGCTGGCTTGAAATTTATGAAATATTTCAGCATGAAAGAAAGCCTTTTTTCCCTCAGGAAAATTGAGCAATAAATCACAGCACTGTGGATTTACTGCCCTAGAGCCAGCGAGAGATAGGATTTTTTTTTTTTTTTTTTGCTTCATTCTGAAAAAAAAAAATGTAATCATATAAGACAGCTTAGCTGCTATCCTCCCACTCTCTAGAATTTTTAATTTCAGCTGTTTCTGCTTGGATTTATTTCCAATATTCCTGCTCGGCTTTTCAATTTCCTCAGTTATTAAATTTTAATTCAGTGCATTAGCATTTAAATTAAAAAAGGGTTTATTTTATCGAAATCGTTGGCCAGCCCCCATCCCGTAGCACACGAATTGCCTGTTTCTGCCATTTGCACAAAATGTGAAATGCAGCTAATGTATTACAACTTACATTTGCACAAATTTAGAAATAAAATTTCTGGGTTTGAAATAATATTTTCTTTCCAAGAAAATCCTTAATAAGAGAATGGAAAAGAACAACTTACCATTCATTTGGGAGGGAAGAGGAGTGTCCCATGAAACCAAAAATAGCCTTTCCTAGGTCCTAAGGAGAAGCTGGTGTATGAGGAATGGATGCGGCTAGGGAAGGGGGCAGGAATTCTTACGGGGAGCTGGGGGCTGGGGTACATTTACCCCAACCTCTGTGAGAGTGAGCAGGAGGGTCTCTCGTGACCCACTGTCCCCCAGCACATTTCATTTGCCATGGAGGGGTTTGGGTAAGGTTGGGTCAACTCCACATAGAATGACAGGGATGGAAGTAGAGGGTGGAGATGATCTGATTTAACTCCTGTTCTCCTGTCCCCATTTTCACCTCTGCAGAAGCGCAGGTCCAGGGAAAGGGAAAAGCTTGCCCAAGGTTCCAAGTGAGGCACTGACAGAACCAGGGCAGGAAGCCGCATACCCTGTAGGAGGACATGGCCCAGTGGTGGCAGCAGCAGGAGAGCTTCCTTTACTTAAGCGACAACTATATGGACCTGGCCTGCACTTAGTACTTGACCTGCACTGCCGTCTTCAATGTTGTTGTGACCGGCCCCTTGAGCAAGATCTCAGGGCTGACGGAGGGTCTGGTGGACACTCACGAGTTGCTGCCTTGCAGCTCGGGATTCAGATCAGACCTGAGACAGGCTGGGAAGACCCGTGGTGCTGTCCAGCCCAGCTCTGCCGTTTGCTCACCTCCCGCGTAATCTTATCCAAGTCACTCAGTTTTTCTGGGCCTCAGTTTCCTGGACCCAGTCAATGATGGCTTTTGTAACTGTATCTAGGGTTGTTCGTGATTATTATTATTATTATTATTACAGCTGCTAAGTACTGTTACGTGCATTACCATATTTAAGTTATCTTGTTTAAGTCTCATGCCAGCCCTGTCAGGTAGGTCCTGGGAGGGCTGTATTGCCGTTTTGCAGGTGAGGAAACTGAGGCCTACAAGTGCCTAGGAACGTACAGCCAGAAAATGGCAGAACCAGGACTCAAACACAGAGCACCTAGCTCTAATCCCTGTGCTCTTACACTTCCGTTCAAATTGAGATCAAGTCTGATTACACTGGATAAAGGCGAGTGTATGGTTTAGATTGGATCACATGAGTTTGCTGGTATTAGACCGTTTGGGCCTAGGAAAGTGGCTGACAGAGGTGCAGCTGAATTTGAACAGTAGTGATCAATCGCTGTGATGTATTGATTGGTGAGGACACCTACCAAGCTGGCGTGGCACCTTAGGGATCTCTACGACTAAGAGTCGGTGCTTTTAACACCGCGGGCTGCAGCTGGGGCTGGGAGGACCCCAGTGGCTGCCCCCTGTCATTGTGGTGGGTCTAGACTCGGCCAGGTCCAAGTGCTGTGATTGACAGGTGCTGTGATATTGACACGTGCTATCTTCAACATCTCTTATTGTGCCCACTGTCCATCAGCTCCTAAACGAGGTAGCAACTCCTCCTCCAGTCGTTCCTTTCCCCCCGTGCACGACCTTCGTCTCTGCCAAGGGATTTGTTTAGGCAACTATTGAACATGTTTAGTATTTTGCCTTTATTTTATAAAAATGGGTGGAAAACAAATGAGTGTTGCTAGCAGTGATACCAAGCTCAAGTATCATAAGCATCATAAAAGGAAAACAACTGGGGATGATCAGAACTGCCGCAAACAGAGAAGCTTCTCCCCTACCCAGTCACGTGTCCACTGTACTTGAGCTGGTCAGCTCTGTGTGAAATTATGAAAGAAGGAAAAGGACAAAAAAAGACTACGTTAAAATGATGTATGAAAACTAGAAATAGGTACTCAGAGTTAAGTCTGGAAAGCGGGAGGCCATTTGGGATTTTCCAATTTTTTTAGGCTCTCTGGGGCGGAATTTCTACCTGCTACCACTTGAGCCTCTTACGATGTGGAGAGGGAGACAAGGTCTCCCCGCTCGCTTTTCAGTCAAGTTTTGAGGAATGCAAGATGTCGGAGAGAGGCTGTCATTGATCCTGTTCTTTTGCTCACAGTGAAATGATATGCAAACCATTTTCTGCTTTGTTTCTCCTACTGAAATAATACACCAGCATCCCATTAATTTCTCCCACCCAGGCCTCACATTTCGACCTCCCTACTTGTCCTTCCCCTTTCCACTTCCCTTGTGTGGGCAACAGAGGTGTGGCGAGCTCACCCCATTTCCCAATTGACTCTCCTAAACGTTGGCGGGAGATAAAATATTACCAAGCTGAGGAAGGCGGGCACTGGAGTGGCCTGGACCTGGGCTTGTAGCTGTGGGGTGTTGGATAAATGACTTAAGAACAGTCTGTCCCTCACCTGTAAAATGGGATGTGTTGGGGGACCTACGGAGAGGATTGAATAAGAGACATTTAATGTCATACGCTAGTACCTGCTAGGAAGTTCTTCAGGGGTAGCAAGTCTGGGTGCCCACAGGGACCAGGCTGGAGTGTGGGGTGTTAGGCGAGAGGGAGGGGTGGAGACTGGAGAACCAGGTATGTCAGCCCTGGCTGACTGTGGTGATGTGGGACTGTGTGTTGCTGGATTAACTGGATTTTAAAGAGAAGCTGAAATGGGGCCTTTCGTGGGGAGGTGAAATCTCTTTATTTTTATATATTTACTCTTTGGATCCAAGTCCGCCATCTGGTTTTGCCAGTTTGCAACTTCCCGTAAGCACTCATCAAAGGTAGCTTGCTGCTGTGTTTATTTTACGTCCTCAATCCTTCATCCACAGTCCTGAAATTCGAAAAGCTTGGAAACAAAAGAAAGAGTTTTTGTAACTGTTGAAGTGGCAGAACTTGACCGAAGGGAAACAAGGCTAGTTGCCATCTTCATTTATCTCATGTAGGGCTGACTGCATATATTTCTCTATAGAAATATCAACGTGCTTGAGTACTCGGGGCTCCCCAGACCCCGCCAGGGTGGTTTCCAAATATAGAACGTATGTGCCAACATTGTCTTTCTAAAATCGGAACGATTCTGAATTTGGAAACAAATGTGCCCTGCAGGGTTTTGAACCTACCTTATTTGAACTATGATCACTATTATTTTAAGTGTTCTTATAAAGCTAGGGAATGCATCTTTAGCCAGGGGTGGTAGAGAAACCTGGGCGTTCCGCCCATGTCAGCAACCTCCACACCGAGGAAACCCCCAGCACCGGCCTGAGAGTCAGGAACCCCAGGTTTTGTTGTTCAGTCCTCATGAGACTTCATGCAGCTCCCTCCTCGCCCAGGGCCTCAGTCTCTCCATCTGAACGAGAATTTGATGATTTCTGAAAATTTCATTTGATCAGCCTTATTGCTCCACCCCCCACCCCCAAATAAAGAGATTAGGAACCGCCACTCTCTTGCCTCTCCCTGCTCAAGAGGGTTGGGGGAACAGAATATTTTTAACATAATAGGATTTTCCCCCTTGATTGGTAGGAATAAATCTGTGGCTACTGTTTTATTGGAAATCCCAGCTGAAAATAAAAATGGTGCAATTCAATCTCAGATTTAGCTGGTTACTTACTTTTCACCGAGTCCCCAGGGTTCTGTGGTTGCTGGGTTTGTGTTGGCAGTGGGTGCTCAGCTGGATTTAAAGGGCCAAGTGAATTTGGACTGGGGGTGTGCTGACTCCCTGTTGCCACTGGGGGCAGATTTTTCCAGCTGGAGGAATGGAGCAGGGGGGTCGTGGCCAGCCCACCGGTGTGTCTGATGGAAGGCTGGTGTTGCGCAGCAGCCTGGCAGAGTGGCAGTGGGTAGAATCTGTGTCTTCACCCTTGGTTAACGCACGTGTTTTGGGTTTCTTCTGCAGGCTGACGGAGCCAGTGCGGCTGGAAGGAAAAGCACGGCGAGCAGGTACACCCCCCTCCCTGCCCCCAGCCTCACAACTGACAGCCACCTCTCCCTGGTCCTCCCCTTCCACCTGAAGTGATGGATGGTCCGGACCAGCCCATTTGCTGAGGAGTTTCCATACTTCCCTGGAGGATGTGCAGTTGTGGGCGGCACTTTCTAGCCGTCCTGGTATCTTCTGTGGGCACCTGGGACTGCAACCACGGATGACTTCATCCGGAGCTGGCCTTTGGCTGCTTCTGTTCACGTTGGGGGGAACTTCAGGGTGAAACACAAGACTGGGCAAAAAGACCTGGGCTTGAATTCCGTCTCATCTCCTGCATTACAAACTCCAGGGGAGCCAGCCGCATCCTAGCCTGGAATCCAGAGGCCTGGCTTGAGTTCTGTGCTTGTTCCCCTGAAACAGTCACTCCGAAGCAGGGGAGTGGAATACCCTGCTGAGCCAGACCGGGGTGCAGCCTTACCCTTGGAGCTGGCAGGTGATGGGGGCAGTCGTCCCCAAATGAAAGCTGGGCTCATCACCAAAGAAGGTGGGAAACGGTGCTGGACCCGCCCACACAGTGGGCATCAGTCACAGTGCAAAATGTTAGTGCTGCTGCTGCTGCTCCCTTGGGTGGGCACTGGAGGCAAGAAGTCAAGGGACAGACAGGACAGATGGTTGTTCGGGCCACACGTGTGATCTGGAACAGGCTCTAGGATTACCTACTACACTTGGGATCAAGCAGAGGAGTTTGCCCTTTAGCCCATGGAACACTATCTTTTATAAATTTTAATAAGTTTTTGTGGAAGAAAGAGGTTCTGTGGCCAAATAAGTTTGAAGGACAATGGGTTAAACAAACTCAACTGATTTCTTCATTGTGGAACTTTCCAGAGCCTTTCTTGTGCTAATGTGTGTGCTTGAAAACACCCGAGAGAGATGAGAATGCCAAGTTTCTCAAACTTACATAACCATGGAACCCTTTTATTGAGGTGCATCCCGCAAAGCCAGTGTTCCCTGTGACAGGCCTTGGGAAACCATGGGAGCTGTTCAAGTTCTTTGAGCAGAACAGTAGCACGTGTTCCTGGGAGATCACCCTGGCAACTCTTCGTGGGGTGGAATGGGGGCAGTTAGAAACAGAGGCCAAGACGCCAGGCTGGAGGTCCTTGTGACTCACACAACCCAGCCCCCACGTCCCCTGGATCTGTCTCCCCCTCACTTGGTCTGTGTTGGCTTTCTGACCTTCTCTCTACGCTCAGCCCGGGGTCAGCCAAGTTGACCTGTAAAGGGTCAGATAGCAGACCATGATCTCTGTGGCAGCTTCTCAACTTTACCCGCATAATGCAGAAGAAGGTGCCATAGATGATACGTGACTACACAGATGACCCCTGGCCTCAGAGCCTTTGCAGCTGCTATTCCTTTGCCTGGAGGGCTCTTTCCTCTGATCGTTCCGTAATTAGGGCCCTTTCCTCCTATCTTTCCATAATTAGGGCCCTTTCATCCTTCAGGCCTCGGATTCTGTCTCCCTGCCCCAGAGAAGCCTGGCAGAGCAGGCTTCTTCAAGGGCCTGTGGCCTGTTTACCCTCTTTAAATATTTCACTTATTTGTGTATTTTTCTCTGCCTCTGTAGTGCCAGCTCCGTAGGCAAGGGTCATGTCTGTCTTGTTCACTGCAAGGGGCTGGCCTGTAGCAGGTGCTCGGTAAGGGTTTATGAGCTGGATAGGCTGAATGACATGGGAAAAGATGTGGGAATGATGTAGGGATCAGGAGCGTGGGCTGGAGTAGAGGGGTGGGAGGCTGGGCTTGGGCCTGTGAACGAGGGTAGTGACCCGTGCCATGATCAGCAGCTGCCCAGTGCCTTGTGTTTCTGTCTCGTGCCCCTGGAAGAGGGACTTTGCATGAGGACAGTGTATTCAGCTGTGGTCTGCGGGGCTGTGGGAATCTTCAGACAAGTGGTCCAGAAGTGCTCCCTGGAATGTCAGGGCTGGAAGGGACTTGGGGCTTTGTCTGGCTCTTCCCTCTCATTGAACATGTTGGGAGGAAAGGTCATGTGATGAGTAAGTGGCTGCATCAGGCCTTGAACCTGCCAAGGCCGGGTACTTTCTCTACTCAGAAATAATGTGCACAAGTGAGGGTCTAGCAAGCCTCTCCCACCATCCTCCCACATTCATCAAGCGCCTGCTGGGTTAGACCCAGTGCTGTGTGCTACAGACTCGAATGGATTTGATGCTAATCTGTTCATCCAGTGGACATTTGAGTGTCTGCTGCGTGGTAGGCACTGTACAAAGGGCTGGGTCTACAGCAGTGGACAGACAAAGCTCCATCCGTTTCTGATGACTCTCACATCGATGTGGTCCTTGCCTTCATGCATGAATCTGTCCCACATCAGCATATCTGCCTGTCGATCAAAGGACAGCAGGCAGGTTTCTCTATAGTCACTGTGGGCGGCCTGAAGCTCTGTATTGAGTCTTAGTAGCCCTCGGCTGCAGGGGGGAGTAAGAAGAGTGCTGAGATAGATTAGAGATGCTTATCCCAGGCAGGGGAGTGGACCGGGGGGGCGGGGCATGTGTGTCATCTGTTTGCTCCCCCTGACTAGCCTAGGCTTGAGTATACTCACTGGTGGAGCCCCGAATTATTACCAAGGTGCCAGAATATACACCAGGAACGACCAGCCCAAACCTTAGGATTGTGTGTAACTTCAAGAAATTTCTAATAATAATGACGGCCATCGAGTCAACATTTACATGTCAGACTCAGGGCTAAGTGATTTACATATATTAACTTACTGTTAATTTATGTAGTCTTTTTAACGACCCTAAAAGGGAGGTGCTCTTGTTGTTCTCACTTCACAGATGAGGAAGCTGAGGCAAAGAGAGGTCTAAGGGGCTCAGGCTGCCCATGGAAATCAGCCGTACAGCCAGGGTGTTTCCCTAGGCCTGACTTCCCCGATGCATATGCTTAACTGCCATGCCCTTCACTTCTTGGTATGATGTGATCAGTTAACAGGTGTTGGTGGAGACCGTTAGGGGCCAAGGGCCATGCCCTCGGCTGGAGGCTTGTCAAGAAGGCAGGGACTCCAGTGGAGCTATCAAGTGAGTTTATATTGATTCTGTCATTAAAGCTAATAGAGTACTTTTGAAAGACCAAAGCAGTAATGTTATATAGTGACCCAGCATTCACTCTGAGAAGTTGACTTATGCATTAAACATCAAGAGAATGTCAACATCGGCCTTAGATGATGCTGGTGAATTCAACCCTGGCTTTGGGTTAGTTTGGTCAGGTGGGGTTTAGACCTGCAGACACTTCGTGGAGCGTTAGACTCACTTAGTCCCTCTTTCAGATGGGTAAACAGGCCTAAGCCTTCCTGAAGTCAGAGGGCGGCCAGATGGCCCTGGTCTGGAGTGGCCTTGAAGGACTCGCGACCCTCTGGCGTTGGCTTCCACTCTCAGCTCCCAGTCATGCCGCCCACTCTGTTCTACACTGGGCTCTGCTTGCGTCCCAGCACCTACCTTTTGGCCCAGAAAACCTGATTTTGTTACTTCTCCAGAAGGGCTCTGGCTAAACCCCAAAACCAACTAATTCCTTAGCCCTGGCTGCTAAGGAATTAGTGTTAAATTGAAGAGGACAAGGAGAGGTGGTGTTTCTGATCCTAAGGGACACCCAAATGTGGTTTGGTTTACTTCCCTGTAACCCAACCTGGGTCGATTTTACAAGACCAGTGATCCCAGCTCTTGAGGTTAATGCTGACCTGGTGAGCAGGTTACAAATCACGGAGCCCAGCTGCAGCCAAACCTCACTTATATTCTCAGGGGCATGGGGGCTACGGGGGCCTTGACTGTGGAACATTCTAAAGGAAATGCGGTTTTTATAATCAAGTAAATGCAACGGCGGGATTGCTGTAATGAAGAATTATGCTTTTTTTTTTTTTTTTGTCAGTTGAAGGTTTTCAGAGCTGGAAGGACTCTATAGATAATCTAGTCCAGCGCTCTCTTTTGAAGATAAGGAAACCAGGGATAGAAGAGGTTAAGGGACTCATTTGCTGTCCCTGTGTACCAGTTGCCTCACAAGTGGTCAGGATCGAGGAGACAGGGAGACTGTCAGGGTAGGCGAGGATGAAAAACCCAGTCTCAGTCTTTCATTCCACAGATAGTTAACTGAGCGCCTGCTAAGTGCCAGAGTCAGACCTAGTGCTGGAAACAGAGCGGTGGGCAAAGCGTACAGAATCACTGGCCTGTGGAGCTGATGTTCTAGTAGGAGCAGAGGAAACACAAGTACATAAAATATGTGGTATGTCATGTGGTAGAAAGTGCTATGGGCTAGAGCAGGGAGGAAGATTAGCAAACCGGGGGGAGTATTGCATCACCAGGAAGTTGACATTTGAACAAGAATCTGAAAGGGAAGAGGGACTGAGCCAAGCATTCATGGGGGAAGCACATTCTAGGCAGAGAGAACAACAGGAGCAAAGGCCCTGGGGCAGGAATGTGTCCACCATGTTGGAGCAACAGCAAGGAGGCAGCTGTGGCCATGCAGGGCCTCAGAGGCTGTTGTCAGGACTTTGGTCTTGATCCTGCGTGAGGTGGTGAACCACTGGGGATTTTGAGCAGAAGAGTGGCATGAATTTGGTTTTAAAAGGATCATTCTGGCTGCCAGGAGAAGAGGAAAAGACAGGGATAAGATGTTATAAGAAGTGTTACCAAGGGTTCAGGACAGGCAGGACCTTAGAAGGTAGACTTGGAAGTGAGTTTCTAAAAGGTTGCTTTTTTTCAGGCCTGAGGAATCCAGTTTCACAAAGCATTGCGCGAGTCCTGCCTCCCAAGTGCACAGCCTCCTGCTCGGTCCTGGGATAGCGTGGAACAGCCGTAACCCCTGTGGCTCCCACCCCCGCCCAATGCCTGCTCTGCCAGGCGTCTCTCTTCCTTGTCCTCCCTCTGGCCCTGCTGAGGGCCAAGCAGCTTAGCACGGTATTGAAGAGCCCAGGCTGCCTGGGTTCTGATCCTGGCACTACACACCTCCTGGATGTGTGACCTTG